TCCCCCCCCCACCCCCCCACGACTCTCACTGACCAACCAAGATCACTCCGATTAGCCCCCTTTTCCTTCGGACACCCAATACGATCGATCCGGATGCATCAGCCTCTCCCTGCACAACCCTTTCCTCCGAATGCACTTTTCTCCCCTTTCCGAAAACAAACCATTCCAATCGAATCGCTCGGCGCTTCGCAAGGAATCGCTGGACACTCTTTACCGTAACGATAAAAGGATCGACCAGATTATTCCTTCCTTGTAATACTACCCCCTAAACTCCCTGATAGCCATTTCCTCTACCGTGCCATCCGTAGCCGTGTACATGTGTAGTTACATGCTAGCCGAACCCGAAGAAGGTAACGTGCTACCCCTGTGCGAGATTGCGCTAAGAAATTTGATCGGAGGAATTTACTTCAATAGGTCGAACCTTCCAGGACCGTATGAGAACGAAAGGCTCCTGGTATGTCGGTTGGATAACCACCTCAATGATATCGGTATAGTCAGGGGTAGGTTAATGCTGGAGGGGAACGTACAGCGAACAACTACAGTTTCGAATGCTAACTGTACTTTGAGATATTAAATTTTATCGAAGTCTCTAGTTGTTAACCCGTGGCTCTATATTGGAGATCTTGTTGTATATATATATATATCGGAATGTATATTCATTTTTCTTCTATAGGTTCAATTAGTGAAATGCGAGCGCTCGCGGTAACTAAAATAATGAAAGCTCCGTCGGTCACGTCCTTTCTCATGTGTCCAGTAACAAATTCAATTTATATATAAATTCCGTCCGTTTATTTTCGAGCACAAAAGCTCCGGAGACAGAGGCTCGACGGCAGCAACGGATGCTGGAAATAGATGATTAAAACGTAACTGTTCGGTTGAATGGGTGTATTCGTTTGCACCTACTTGTTTCCATGTTTACATATCAGACACGCACGCGCTCCGTAGGCTCATCATGATTAACATGGATACGTTGTACAGTCGTGTAAGCACGTGATGGGTTATGGTGTTGAGGCGCGGCCATAATTTACTAAGCCAACGTAGCTACGTTTTCGAGCGACGTTTATCAATTTTGTAGGTCAGTCAAATTATCAAAAGAGATCTCCCGTAAAGCAAACTGATTTCAATCAGTTCATTGTTTTTGGTAATTATACAGAAACTGTATACATAGATTTGTCAGTCTATTTATACGTGCATTTTTTTTTTATTATGATGTATGCGTAATTTCTTTTTTTTTTGTGTGTAATTTTAATACATTCAATTTTCATCCCAACCAGCGAATTCAGGCGGGATTTAAATAAATAGCTGATATTACGTAATCGAAATGTGTTTCGCATTGCGACAGTGTATTCGTACGATAAATAATTCTCGACTACTAATTATGTAATTATTATTTGTAATATTGAATCCGACATTAGACAAATCCCGAACAGACGGACAACAGCGTATTTAATAAAGGTAGAAATTTCTTTTCATTCCATTTTACGCCATGATCTTATTGTTTTTCAGGATTCATGGCTCTACTGAAAACTGAGAGAGGATGGTCGAGTTTAGAGGATTGATTACGCAATTTCTACTCGTTACCTCAACGTTGAACTACGTTTCGTTAAGAAGTATTTCAGTACCGAAAAACTTCCTTCGCCAGACCACGCGTGACCTACCCCATTTCTTTGGGCAAATTAAGCACAGACCTTCGGTCTCTCCCTCTCTCTCTCTCTCTCTCTCTCGGGAACGAGAGAAGTTTTTCCTACGATTACGATAATTCAGTAAACTCCGCAGCAAAGGTGCAAATTAAGCACAGACCTTCGGTCTCTCCCTCGTTGAACTACGTTTCGTTAAGAAGTATTTCAGTACCGAAAAACTTCCTTCGCCAGACCACGCGTGACCTACCCCATTTCTTTGGGCAAATTAAGCACAGACCTTCGGTCTCTCCCTCTCTCTCTCTCTCTCTCTCTCGGGAACGAGAGAAGTTTTTCCTACGATTACGATAATTCAGTAAACTCCGCAGCAAAGGTGCAACAAACTCTCTCGCCTGACGTCTCATATCGTAATACATACCACAGCACTCGATGTACGAAGCATCGTTGCCCAATTAAGGAACGGCTAAGGATTTTCATCTCTTTCGTCGATTTACGTAAGGTCAAAATTAACATAAACCAAATTACGTAACACTGACATTTAATATCGAAGGTATACGAGTAGCAAGAAAAATCGAATAGTCACGTGGCATAATAAACTTGTGCACCAGTTGATCCTATCGAGTAAAATTTTGAAATCGAGGGAAAAAAGTCTATTCTCCGAATATCACATTGTCAGTGAGGAACGGGGACTGTGCGTGCCAGTGCTAGAAATCAGAACTGACGAGAAGCGCTACTGCAAGTTTTATTACTTTTCTTGGTAGCACTTCAACATAGTCTTCCAATCTTATTAGGGAACCTTAGCTTAGAACTTTTCCTAACCGTAATTGCTATGAATTATTCATTCGACCAAAGTAAGTGTCCGACGCGAAACATTTCCTTCGTTTCTCTACGACGTAATAGGACGAGACAGGTGGCGGTGATCTTGCACACACGGAACACACAAGAGACACGTAAAAAGTTAACGTTTCATCAGAAGTAGAAAAAAATTATCCCTGACAACTGCCGACATGCAGAATACTGGCTGGTATAGATACCAGCTAGATTTTTCGGTCTGATGCATGACTCTCGCAATGATTATACCAGGACAATGCAGCGCTGGACCGAATACGGGGAAGCTGGATTTTTCGAGAAAAATTTCTCTTTGAAGCAAAACGCGCATTTTCAACTCGCTGCATACGCTTGGAGTCGTCATTTCCTTTAGAGTGCTTGTAGCTCCCGTATAAAACTTTGGCGGGCTATTCAAATGGGAAATTGGTATTTCGCTTGTCGCAACGATGAAAATCCATCAGGTGCTTCCTTCTTGTTACTCGAGGAGATTCCACCGGCGTTCACGAGCGCGCTTATTCGTCGTTTCTCGACCATATCGCTAATGCTTTCCTATTGAACTTCTGAGCAGCGATGGGTCAACGATACAAGTGGGCCAACGCGACTCAAGGCTGATATACAACGTGTGAATTAATGTCTGACGTTTATTGTACACTGAACAATTCAAAACGATATTACCGAGCTGTACGTTTGTACTGAATGCTTAGCACGAAGCTCTTCGCGGTGTGAGACATATAGCGCAAAGTCCAGTACACATTGATGCATCGATGGATAACGTCGTATTCATGTGAACGAACCTACGGAAATGGTATAGGAATCTATTGGAACGCCATGACGAATGAAGCTGAACATGAACTGCGCATCGTCACGCCAATACAAGGTATAAACTCTGACGGAAAGTTCGAGGATCCAGTCGGCAAGAGTGCTGCAAGCTTTTCTAAATTGTTCAGGAACGTCGGAGCTCGCGAATTTTCCTCCCCTCTCTCTCTCTCTCTCTCTCATATCTCCCGCTCGGTGCTCACTCCTCGAGAGAGTTTACACGACGAGGCACCAGAATGACACAACTGCCAACAAGTTTTTACATAATTGAATCTCGTCCTGAAACATGCAGAGCTTCTCTCTACCAAAGTGGAAAGAGGGGGCGAAGAGGTACAGTGGGGAGGGGGGGGGGAAGGAGG